ACGTTTCGTGAAGTTGGCGAAACTTTTGAATTGGTAATCGGTTCGCAGAAGAAGGGAGGTGATTGGGACATTATCGTTGTGTGAGAGAATCTCAAGCACTCAAGGATTGCCTAGGGATTGCCAGCTTGCACCTGCATGCACTTTACTACTTACACATGGCTCTATCCCAATTCGAGATATTACTAGCGTAGATGAGGTTGGGTGAATCAGTTAAACTGAACTGGCTTACATAAAACAAATCAATTTTACTGAATATTCAAACAGTCAATCGATTGTGCCTCAGTTAGGGATAATGATTGCTAACTTATTACCAGTATTTTACTTTCTGTGATTAACCAGTAACAATAAGTTGAATACAGGGTGTTACATAAATATTGGTTAACGGTTTTGCCGGTGATAATAACAACGGTTTTTGCCGGAGTAACTTCTCTTGATGTGTCGAACTATCCAAAGTTCAATTGACTATAGTCAGTATTTGCTCAAACAATCACATACTGCAAACAGCGACATTCGTTTGAAATGCCTTCCTGCCGCCCTGAGTACTGCTCTGGAACGGTTAGAGTTCCGGCTGCGTAGCGGCCTGCATGGTCACCTAAGTTATCCTCTTTCAAACTTTTGAAGGGAGACGCTATTAGCTCCTTAGTGTGAGTGCAGTTTTTCAAAGGTGCTTGCCAGTACGATAACCCAAATGGAATTGCCCAGCACACCTAGGTCAAGAGATTTGCGGATTTTTCGTTTGAAGGTGCGAATTTGGGAAGAGTGGCGCGACAGCGGTCATGAAATTCTTCGTCCTCTGTGCAGAAACGCTGCCCTGTTAAGGAATTCACCATTCTTTTCTAAAGTGGCTTGTGACCTTAGATGCTGCTCTGGAACATTCCCCATTTTGAAGCCGCATTGAGTTTTGTGCCTCTGTCAAGAGACACCGGTGGATAGCAACCGTGTGTCGAGACCTCAGGCCATACGAGGATAGGGATTGGCCACTGCTTGTAGAGAGCAACCATGCTTGTTGCGCCGTCTTCTGCAAGAGCTGAAGTGAGTAACCCCGCAGTTTAACGGGTGCAGCTTCCTTCCACGGTAGATTTTTGCGTCCGGAAACATGGTCTCATGTGACCGTCTCCTCTAGCCCTTTTCAAGGGCGCTTCACACTTTGCTTTAGTCAAGCAACGTTTCTTGAGCATCCTATAGGGCTGCATGTGTAGTTTTTGTGGGACAATTTTCCTCCGTGGGGTCGCCACGTGGTACAAACTCGCAGCTATCAGGCCCTTTCTCACTTGCTTCAAAGGCAGTATAGCAGGCTCGACTGAGAACTACCTACCTGTAGAAATGCGACCTCCTGTATCTGCTAGTTCAAAACACTATCACTGCGTCTTCCTTGACAATATGTCTCCACCTGGCTCAGATCATCAGAGCGCCCTTACGCAGGAGCATGTAACATAGTGCTGGGAAATTTTTAATAACTAGTTTCAGAATGGCCATTTGAATGACTTTTGAGATGCAGATTTGATACCTGCCGTTCAACACTAGGGTTGCACCATATAAAAATTACAACAGCGAATTTGAGGGATGACGTCAATGGCAAACACTTTCGTCTTGGCACCGTTACCATTATTTTCTGGCTAGCACCCACCGACCAGCAGCACATAAAAACAACAATTATCTTTATACTTGCCATACTTCGTGATTAACGATTGACGACTTCTTTTATGCGTGTACCTCGGCATCTTTTTCTGTAACTTATTGTTAACTGGAATTTAGCTAGTTAGTTTTTACCAGTTTGATAATTTCATTATTAGAAGCGAATATGGTATTGCTTGGCATCCCAAGGACAGCTTCGAAACATGAAAGTCAGGATGAAACAAAATATATCCACTGCGCTTTCTGCTTTACGCGCGACTGCGTCACGTCGTCAATGCGTAAATATACAGTAGTGGCCAGAAATTTATAAACGTACGGTTTTTGGAGAATTTCTTCGCACAACATCGCTTATTCGTCTCCAAATTTTGAAGCAGTTATTTACTAAGTGTTTCGACCCACCACAAAAATATCAATCTTCAGCTCAAACAGGGATTTGAAAAATTTTTACGATTATTGAAAGGCAGGTCAAAGATCACGTAATCCGTTTATTTGAATAAAATAACGTATGACCCAACAGAACAATCAAGTAAACAGTCACTAACATTAAGCAAGTCTAGCACATTGCCCAGAAATCTCTAAAGTCTTGGATGCATAAACTGGGTTCAAGTGGGGGTCAATTAATGAACTCGCCCTCTAGTAGGGGTCTCTGTAGGCGCTTATTTTCGTGACTCTTTCATTGACATGCGACTTTGTAGTCCTCCCCTAGTGGTTCTGTAATGTTTGGCTCAAGAGTCTGGCCTGGCTGGTCTTTTAAAAGCACCCCATGCTGTCGAAACCACTCCTGCATGTGAGAGGCCCGATGCTTTGAGTCGCTGCTCTGCTGACAGACAAAGCCAGGTCGTGTGGCAGCCATGTCTACGGATACATAACATCTTCTAGAATCTAAGTCTATACTACGTATTCCTTAGTTCTCAAAGTCTAAGAAGAGCGCTCGCTGTGAAGTGAGTGGAACTAGAGTGTGATTGACCAAGCCTGAAACGAAGGTTGATGTAGGCTTCTAAGTTCATCTGGAATGACAAAAACATATTGGTGGTGCTTGACAGCAAGGATACTAGTAATGTACGGCACCACGAGAGGGAACGTTTTGATCCAAAGAATCAGCTGCCAATTGTGAAACTTGGCGGAGGCTTGATAAGGTTGCCTTGGGAAAAAGTGGGACCACGCTACACGGCTGAGGTAGTGATGAAGGCAGTCGTTTGCTGTCATGTTTTGGAAGGTGTTATGCATCCGTAGTATTCCTGCCGCACGACCTGACTTGTGTCTGACGGCAGAGCAGCGACTCAAAGCATCGTGCCTCTCACATGCAGGAGTGGTTTCGACAGCATGGAGTGCTTTTAAATGACCAGCCAGGCCAGACTCCTGAGCCAAACATTACAGAACCACTAGGGGAGGACCTACAAATTCGTATGTCAATGAAAGAGCCACGAAAAGACGGGACTACAGAGAGAGACCCCACTAGAGAGTGAGTTCATTAGTTGACCCCGCATTCAAATCCAGTTTATGTATCCAATACTTTAGAGAGTTCTGGGCAATGTGCTAGACTTGCTTAATGTTAGTGACTGTTTACTTGACTGTTCTGTTGGGTTATACATTATTTAAATCAAATAAACGGATCAAGTGATCTTTCACCTGCCTTCATTAATTTCGAAAAATCTAAAATTTTCTAAACCCAAATTTGAGCTGAAGGTTGAAATTTTCTGTGTGGATCAGAAAACACGTAGTTAATAATTGTTGCAAATTTGGAGACGATTCAGCGATTTTGCGAGAAGAAATTCTCAAAAAACCGTCTGTTTATAAATTTCTGGCCACTACTGTACTTGATTGAAAGAAATAAAGGGTAGTTTTGAAGTACGAAATCAGAAATTTTCTTGCTAATTTGCAGAAACTGGGCCAAAAGATGCTGGAATTTGTCAAAACGAACCAGTTTGAAAGCTCTCTTGCCACAGATATGATCGCTTCTATGATGGCGTCCATGACATATGTATGCATATACTTTCTTGTTTGGCATCGCGCCAATTTCAAATATGTAGTTTGCAACTGTTGGCCTTCCATTACTGATTTTGACGACTTCAATAGCATGCACCCTTTAAGGAATTGCCATCAATTTGGATTTCCTTCGCCGAACATGTACTCCGCAATTTGAGAATCGTGTTAACACGTGAGTTGCTTGTATGAAGACAAATTCACAATCACTGTGCTATAGTTAATGACCATACTTCCAATCACAAGTGCCAATCAACGACACTTCACTCGATACGGGCAAAGACCCTGTCTTATACGATGAAAAGTTTTTGAAATGAGATCTTACTACTTCCGGATTCAAGTGGGGTTTCGGATTTTGGGTGATTCACAAAGACTGAGGAAGAGCAGCCTATTATGACCTGTGCTTTAAGGTACAAATGTGCTTGTTTGAAGTACCATGACGGGTTAGTGTATTGATCAGTGTGCTAGGTTCTATAACGGATAACTAGGCGTGTTCGTGCATCGCTAAGCTGTACCTGAATGCACAAAAATGCTTATAAAAACACTCCAAGCTGCAAAATCTATGTACAACAGTTTTGTAGAGTCCTCAACTGCAGAGAGAAATAAAATGTGAAAAATGCGAAAGAAACCATCAGAAACTCTGGGTTTCAAGTCCTTAGCAAGGTCTAATGTAGGCGGCGGAGATCGGGACGATCAGAGAAAACAAAAGAGCACGAGAGAGCACGCTGTGTGGAACAGCACGTTGATTTCTACATCGTGTTGGATAGGGAGGGTTGCAATAAGGGGTCGATGGTTAACTACTCGCGTCTTAACCGCGCATTTTGTGCGACGAAGCTGGCGCGATCTCTGTATGTACGGATCCAACACGTTCACTCTCGGCTACTTCATACTAATGAGCATAATACCGAAGCCCACTTTCAAGGACAAATGACCTGATAAATTGAATGGGATTTTAAAGAGGAGTAACTTTGCATTCTTTGATGTTAGACTGAGCCTTTAGTACGACAGCAAGCACCCGGTCGCTGCTCCTTCCTGGGCGTCAGGCTCTGTCTTTTTTGCCAGAGAGGCACGGCAGAGCATTCACGCTGGTGACTCAGTGCCATTAAGACTCCTCTGACCCGAAAATCATTCGGGAAAAGAAGGGGCATGTTTCGCGGAATCAAAGCCAATACCCTTAGATCATTTAGTTCTCTGCATCCATTACTCTTTTATCGTACCAGCTCTTTTTAAGTTGAGTTGCTTGTCATAGGGTTTTAGGTATAGCACTTGTAATGGTCAAGGTGCTCAGGCAACTTTAGTCACTGACCAGCTATCTTTCGATTACTGGAGCACTCGGAAGCGTTCCGCGTAACTCGTGCTGATTGTATGATATAATTTCAGCGGAAGTTAAGCAGTCTGAAGATCTGGATGTATCCGCGTCGTGGTTTGTATCGTTAGCATCATCATTGTTGTCAACGACTAGTGAGGTTAGGATGGGTATTGTGAAGGATTGCCTTTCTCTAGAAGGAATATTTCCAGAATTATATCCAATACAAAAACATTTGTTTCGAAATGATCGATCTGCTAGTCAGCTGCAAGAGCAAGGTAGCATACACCGTGAGTTCAACACAGTCGTTTACGGTAAGCAGCCCGTCACAAATATTAACGTCAGTTGTAGAGTGGAGCGCAGGGATTGTGGAACAGCCTGTACATGCTCTCTCGCGTCTATCCGGAAAGCTCTCGCTATATGGCATTGAAGTTGAATAGGCCACTTAATGAATGGGTACCACTTCGAGTAAGTTTTCGATGCTTTTTTTGTTTACGTTGTGTTGCCTGGTAATTGTAATGAAACAAGGCACATTCAACGTTATGCTGCAGGAATGGTCTCGTTTATACAAACTAGAAGAGATGAAAATGGCCTGGCACATTCCAAATGAAAGAGGAAAAGCAGTTATTGAAGAGATTCTGAAGAAGTTTCTGTTCCCTGTCATGGACGAGATACAAACTGTGCATGTTGACAGGTAACATGTTTAATGAAAAAGTTGACAACAGTTCCGAATAATTATCAGGTTGCGAGCGAAGCACTTATCGTTTGCGCTTTACGAGATGGAGTCAAATGTGGCCGCGCATCAAATTATTATAGTTGTCGTTTCGTGCTATCTGCCTAAGTGAACAGTTGCTCTTTCTTAAGCAACACTCCCCCCGAAAATTCCGTGATGTTTCAAAGTTGTTAGTGTAGCTTTCCTCCTTCGGGTTTTTAAGACATCAACGAATTCAATTCGAACAAAACAGCATGACCGGAACGCTCTACGTCTGAGCTATTTAATGATTTCAAAAGATATGAAATCTAGATGAGTCGCTTGAAAACAAAACGGGCTAATCGTCTAACGAGGAAAAATCGCTAGCTGATCCCGACGCTCCACGGTGAACGGAAGTAGAGAGAGATCGCTGAATGCCTATAAAATATCGAAACAAAGAACCCCTTTTCTCTGCAGTGAGTAATGACCACCGTTTGGTACTTGAAAGCTCCTTACTTAATTACACGTTAACAAACGGTTGCCGCACAAGCTCACGAAGCACAACACAACTGCCTTACATATTGCAAGAATGAAAGCCCAGATGTTTGATGAGTTGCGAACAGAAGTCTCTTTCCCTCAACCATCATACTCGCCAAAAATTGCAACGACTGATTTCTGTGTTCAGAACTTCTGTATAGCTTCTTTAGGAGGAGGAGTGTTCAAGGATCAGATGACGTGGAACTCTACTTTTTTAAGGCTTTCATATCATTAACGACTTCATGCAATGCGGATCGTCAGACTTTTGTACAAATATAACGACAAACCTACGTCACCTTATCTGCATCAGGCTCACCTATCCAAGACCTTTAAGCTTCACTGCTGCCTTGGGAATAGCGCCCACATACTCTTGTGATCATTAGTGCGTGCCACCGCTAGCCGCGAGCGCTTTCATGCTGTTTTGGCTGAAGATTCGCAACGCGTACTAACTCCGAACATTTTTGTGCTCTATGGATGAAAACACATTTGGGCATGACGGATTTGGGCTCGAGTCACTTCTTTTTCTGAACTATGCAATATTCGGAGGTTCCAATTACTGCCTGAAAGGCGTCCTGCCCTTTTCCGATCTAAGCGCTCTTCAGGAAATGTCTAGTTTCCATCTAGTTGGGACAATTCTATTAGGTTGGAGCAGTTAAAATGTCGCTTCCGTTTGTGCCTTTGTTTCTCAGCTTAAACACAATCTCTTAGGATGGGAGACCATTCATTCGAAAGAGCGATTCAGCACGCATATTGCGAAATCTTAGGCGCCACTGAGCGGATGTTCTTCGAGCCAAAACTTTTGCTCGAAGATGACTGATCAGAAATCATCGTCTGAGCGTATATATTCAAGCAAGGAAAAACGGCCAACGAATCCCACTCATTGTGTGCAAAACATTGAGCAGTAACACTTAGTCTCTGATGCACTTTCAGCTATGGTTTCAGCTCTTCCAAGACTGAGGTAAAGGACCTGGGACGAAGATCGTGGATTTTGACCTCTAGCTCTAGATGACGGAGAAATAAAGAAAGCCAACGAATTGAGTCCTCGACAAACCGCACAAAACTTGCATGGAGATTCAGTTGTGTCAACAGAAAAATTTAAAAGTTCCTACGTGCGACTGTTAAGGCCTTTCAGGATAGAAAATGGGTTCGGCCTATTCTGAGCGACGCGAGCAAGCAGTACTGGTTGCCAATACTGGAACTTCGCTCCATAACTTCAAGAGGAAAAAGGTTCTTGACTTCGTGTTGACCGCATTTTACAAAGAGATGTTTCCCAATAACAACGCGAGAAGAGGACCGTGGTTGGCGGCTGATGGACAGCTGAGGGTGACTTCGAAACCAGACATCCACGGAAACAAAGTCATGTTTTTATATGGTGATACAGTATAGCAACGGTGTACCACGGAATGCTGATTGTGGGTTATACAGTTACAGCTGAACTCTGCGTATAACAGCTCCACCACGTGGGCCGAGCTCCGCGTCGTCAAAGGGTAATTCGGCCAATGAAAAATTATGGCACGATAATGCAAGACATGTCGCGAAAATCTTGCAACAAGAAATCGAGGAGTTGGGCTGGGACGCTCTACCTCTCGCGCCATATAGCCCAGGTCTGGCGCCGTCCGACTATCACTGACCCAGGTCAGCGCAACACTCCTTAGCAGCAAACCAATTCGATAACCGCGACGACGTCAAAATTTGAGTGCCCAACTTCTTCGAGTCGAACCAGAAAGAGTTCTACGCGGTAGGCATCCATGCTTTGCGTAACGAAAGGTGATGAGCCTGTGACACAGGTGAAGGAGATGGTTCAGGTTGATGTGCTTCATTATTGTTTTTATAATGAAAATAATTGATGATCGAAAACGACATTTCAACTGTTCCAACCTAATAAAACGACACTTAGTATACAGGGTGGGCAAAAATTACGGTAAGATGAGGCTGCCGCGGTCATTTTTTAATTTGAAACACCAGGAGTTTTTAATGTGTATTCTATGTATTTAGTTTAATAATTCAGAGTTTAATAATTCCATCTTTGATTTACTTGCATGAAATGTATCAGCTCCCAAACGCATAGTCTTTTACTTCCTTCAGAAATAGTCACTACTTCGCTCTGATGAGCTGTTTGATTGTGTTGCATTGCAAGACAATTTCAGAAGCATTTTGGGACTTCAGCCGACCAACATAACAAAGCTAAATAGGCTGTTCACCGGTACCAACGAACCTAAACCTGAAAGGATTGCTTGTACGACTTCACGATTAAAATCTCGAAGATGCGGGCGAAGAAGTGTTGGAAGTCGGCTTGGTCAAAGGGTGTTGTGACATCTAATCCTTTTGCTCCTCTGCGTCTCCCTCACAAGGCCAGACACCAGACACTAAGGCCCAAACTTTTGCCACAGGTTAAGTGGCTCACACACCCCCACCCCCTGAATTGGCCCCATTGCCCCCTGGCTCACGCATTCTTACTTACTACCAGGTTCCCGCTGCACCAAAAGGATTAGATGTCATAAAACCGATAAAACTGTCATTCGGTCGCTGAAACTATCATGGAGCGCATTTTCCTGCAACGCCTTATTTGCGCACACCTTAGCAGAAAATTTCAGCATAAAAATGCCTAGCATCTAACCTGTGCGTGGAAAGTGAGTAGAGTGCAGAGATGCTATAACAGATTGGCTCGTTTTCGTAATGAGCTTCCTTTATGGATTGTTTCCCCCGATGAGAAGATATTCTGCTGTCTCGAATAAAAAGAGCAGCTGGTATGCCGGTGAAAAGCTAACTAGCCATTCAGTGATGGTTTTCGCAGAAATCATAAGAGCAGGAATCACAATCTGAAGACGCCTCAGATCTTCGCTGCTCTTGATACAAAACTACAGTAAAAATCGTTTCGAACCCCTCTGTCTCAGTTGATGCTTCACTTCAAATGGAAGGACCCTCGATGGAAATACAACACATTAGAGCAAGACTGGGCGCCACCCACAATGCACCGATTGATCTGCAATCGATGCAACAGAATATCGTGAAGTTCATCATATTAGAGAATTGACAATATAGATCTCCCAACTCAAATCCTGCGGTGTGCTCTGTAATGAGTGTGAAGGCAAAGCATTGCTATAAGCATAATAGGAACATCGACTTGTTGAACAGTCGCTCTTGGAAGCCTTAAACCTACTCGACAACACTTACCTACACAAGAATTGATGACTTTCTAAGAAGTCTTCGTTCATCGGTCAACGTAGAAAGCGTCCACACCAAGCAATATTGTTCTGTTTGATAACTTACCGACATTCTTAATTTGGGGCTTATCGGCCACATTACTTTTTACGACCAATCTATGTTGTTACCGTAATTTTTGCCCACCCTGTAGTATCACGAAAACACGCTTATTTATGGCAACATTTTCGTTTCAGAGAAAAACTGAAGAAAGCTTTCACGATAATCAACTCAATTTTCACTGGTGGTGCCACATGCTTTGCATTGCCAACGTCTCCTCAATATCAAAGTCCAAGCAGTTCATTGCCATGGTTTAACCCTAACATTCCAAATTCGGCTGTTTATAGGATGGGTATGTGCTTGACCCATATGTGTGCTCTTTTTGTCTTTGTGCTTTTCTTACCATTAAGAGAAAAATAATTATTTTAATAATTGTTTTCAGATATACACCATCCGAATGGCAGGAACGTTAGAGAGATGCTCGTAGATCTCATTGAGAAAATTATCAGTCGAACAGAGACATCTCGTCGAGAACACAGCCAAGTTCTTGTGACCATCTGCTCGTTGCTACACTATGTAATTCACACTAACTACATCGATTCGGTGAGTTGAATAGCACAAAAAAGAGGTTTGCTTGGCAATCGGTCAGTTTGGGATGCCCTTTGAATTTGGGTTGCACTGAGCTGCACTTAAGGCCAATTTCTATGGCACAAAGGGAATGCTGTACTGTAGAAAGTCCGCTAACACAAGAGCATGCAACCACCGTACGGTTGATGGCACACTCGAGCGGACAAAAGTGACTGCGAGGGACGACTGTACATGTTCCCTATGATGGCGTCCGTTCTTATGAAACTGTGCAGTCAAATTAGCTCGAGGCCGACTGCACGTGGATTGCTGTTCTCCACCTCTTACGTGGATTGGAGGGGCACGTGGATTGGAGGGATGCTGTTCTCCACCTCTTACGTGGATTGGAGGGGCACGTGGATTGGAGGGATGCTGTTCTCCACCTCTTACCGCGCTTCTCAGTCTTTTGGAGGACCTGAAGGACTTGGTTGATCAGAAAAATGTCCCCGAATTCAATGATTTCGTAACTGATGTGAGCAACTGGTTCGCCTCTTCAGCCTCTTCCAATGTCACAGATGCTGAGGTTCATTAGATCGCTGATTGAATCAGAATTAGAATGAAAACATTAAAGAATTGCAAACATGCAGCCAAGTGTCTTAACAGTATGTATCGCCCCAGACCTCAAAAGTGCACTAGGCATTCTGAATCAGCCTCTACATATTCTACTAATTTTTTCAGAGTGAACTGGTGACGGCGACAGAGGAGCAGAACGAGGTTTTCGCATTTTTGACTGATCCGATCCGGAAAGAATTTCCAGCTTATGTCTACGGGGCTCTGGCATATGTGTGCCACATGGTAACAGTTCCATACTTGCAAAAAACATTCCTTACAGGACAGTTTGTTGTTATTCAAAATGGTGATGAATTTTACACATCACAACTTTACAAATGAAGGCTACTGTCTTCAGAAAAATGCGACCTCTACTGCGACACCTTTGACAGAGTTTCATTTGCGAGTCACAAGACTTCTGATACGTCTCGCACTTAACATTTATCCCGAGGTTTGGCTTCGCAGCAAATGTTAGGCTTTTCCAATTTCATCCAAACGGGAAGCTTTCAGGTACGTCTCGCAGCGCAGACCGAACTGTTCCTTGTCTTTGCCGAATACACCATCTCAAGGGAGGCTGTTCTTGACAACGTGATACCGGTGCTGACTGATGCGAATTCGATCAAAGAAAAGATCAGGGTCTGAATTTGAGTGTAGCCGGTCCTAGAATTCGCGATGCATCAAAGCATTTTGTTGTTTAGGGTGCACTAATTGTCATTTGGAAATCTAATCTAGCGACTAACTCAACCGTTCAATCAAGAATCAAAATCTGGCGCTCACTTCTTGAAATGAGGGTGAGACTGACGACACAATCGAAGTTTTTCAAAATCTAACATGCCTGAATCATGAGGACCAGTTCGAAGTCAGGAGAAGCTCTTTCTGACCTACGCTCAGGGTCAAGCGAGGCGTCAGGAAAGCTGAGATACCAACCCATCCCACCATCAGTGTTAGGTTGCCATGCAAAGCTCTTCTTTGCGTACAAATAGCCTGACAAGGAAAGGATGGTAGGTCGAAGTGGCCGTATAAAATGAGATGTATACCACCTGATGCGTCTCCAGACGCTGATTCCAAATCTGCCTTCCAAATCTGCTAAACGACTCTCCGAACGGAGTTATGAAGCGTAATAGCTCAGTGGTGATGGTCCGGGGTGGCAGGTAAAAGCTCGTAGGATCGGTTCCTTTGCAAGTTTGTTGCTTTGCTTTTGTCCGCAACACTTCTAGAGACAAAAGCAAAGCAACCAACTTGCAAAGGAACCGATCCTACGAGCTTTTACCTGCCACCCCGGACCATCACCACTGAGCTATTACGCTTCATAACTCCGTTCGGAGAGTCGTTTAGCAGATTTGGAAGGCAGATTTGGAATCAGCGTCTGGAGACGCATCAGGAGGTATACATTTCATTTCGAACGGCCACTTCGACCTACCATCCTTCCCTTGTAAGAAGGGATGTGATTGCTCTCGCAAAGTATGTGATGACCTTGGAGCAGCTTACTTCCATGCGAATTTTATAAATATGAAAAAAGACTTCAAAATTTCTCAACGAGCACTTTCAAAATAGTGAATTTACGGAATATAATGAGAAAGAACCGTTCTCGGTTATTGAACGAGAAAAATTCTTGATGAGCGCTAATTTTGACACTTTCAAAAGCTATAATTCCATTAAATGCAATTCAGAAAGTTTATATAGCGCTAAAAACTAGAAGGATTGCCTTATCCAACGTGAATTAGAAGATTTGATGCAATCAGTATGTCGGAAATGACCTCGTTGAGCGTTCTCGTCCAGGTACGGCTGGGAGGTTCTTCATAGTTGCACCGTCACTCTTTAAAGACCGTAGCTGCTCTAATGGGCGACTGTATATAAAGGAAACAGCAAGTACTGCAAGGTTTCAACCTAAATGGTTACAGATTTCTGAAGTTAACCCTGAGAATTGCATTCCTTCTCATGTAGTGCATTCCCTCCTTTCAGTTTAAACGTTTGTCCGAGAACCTGCAGATGTCGTTCAAACTCACATCACCTCTGCAGGGAGCACGCATTGAAGGCATGATATTGGTCGAACTCGCTGGGGAACGTGCGGTACACTTGAAATTCGGTGATACCTGTGCGGATCGCAGTTCCTATCCACCCCGAACACGCTACAGCTGCTCTGGTCGTTGCTGATTCCAGCACCTACGACAACCCTCCTTCCCATTGGAGGTACGAGCTCCCTCGTCAGGGATGCTTTAACGCACGCTTGACCCCGCACAAACAGCTCATTGGATCCATCGAACAGCGTTGACTGAGTGCGCCTCCTAACCGACATCCCCCCTCATTGAAGGCTCATCTTCTGTGGTGAGAGCATCGTTTTTCCCCTCAAAAAAATGGAGCAGTGAATGGTGATGTGGCATAAAATGAAACCCAGAGAAAAAGATTAGAATCCACGAAACAGAACGCTAATTTTCTCCGTTTTGAGAGCTATTAGACGAACAGCAACCGAAGCGAAGTTTGTGTGGGCGGGTTAATCCCGATAGTCGGCATCGTGCCGATAAACATCATAAGGTGAGTAATAACGCATATATTGGGTTGACCCATAATTTCTGGCCGAATTTCAACACTTTGATTTATTCAAGTTTTATCTTTCCTAAAGAACAATTGATCAAAAACATAACCACCATCATAATCACTGATATGCACCCATTTGCTAGGGAACGAATGGATGCATTCCTCCCAGAACGAGAGAAGCTGTGAGATGAAAAGCTCGAAGAGGTCGTTTTTGGGGTGGTTATTTACTGACTTTTTCCTCTCCTAGCTGCTGCTTCAGGGAGCTGGGAGGTGATAGTACGATGGAGCAATGTCAGGGCTATACGATAGATGTGGTGTCGTGGTCCAGCCAGTTTCCCTCGAAACGTGGCGAGTTATCTTTGCAATGTGATTTCGGGCGGTCCTCCGGATAAAGGAGATTTTGAGACTTTTCCAACCGTCTCCCGCACTGCTGCGGCCAACTTTGGAAGCTATTCCATGGTTACCTTCGCAATGCTTGTCTGCATAAAGTGAAATGGTTCTCAAAACGGGATACCCAGCGAATCCAACAAAACGGGGGTCACACCCTCTGATGAAACAGCTCGGGTTTTGGTTGATGTGCTGCGTCCAGGCTGCGAGGTAGCCACCGGGCGAGCCGCGTGTTGTTATCGTAGGGGACTCATGACTCATCTGCACTGGTGACCAACCAGGGAATGTCTTGTCTATACGGTCGCAGAATGAAACTTCTGCAGATGGTCAGGCGTGCTTCTCGGTCATGGTCAGTCCATGCATGCTGTTTCCATCGAGGCTTCATTCTGCTACAGTCCATTCCATTCAGGTGTCGACTCATGGAGCGTAGGCTGCGCCCAGATGTTTGCTACAGTTTCCTGCTAATAGCGTCCGGATGCACTTCCTATTCGTAGCGCAAGGGTCCTCATCGAAAGTGACTGGAGGTCCATGATGAGGTCGAACTTTGCAGCTCCTATCGCCTTTGCCGATGCTATTGAGCCAATAGCTCAGTGCCCGATCAGTAGCAAAGACTGGGGCAAACGTAGCGCTGATCTTGCCTACCGCGCTCCTTGCAAGGTTCTTCTTAAAATTGTCGTAAGGCAAAATCGTTGGGTTTGGTTGTTGATCTATTTTGATTCCTACTTAATTATCCCTTTGCGCATTTGAGCTTCTGAACATCCTGGCTGAAGGTCCTGATGTGTTCTTCAACATATTAACTTATTTCATATGAAGCTAATTTGACATGAAGAAAATTGAATTTGAACCAAAATCGGCCAGAAATTATGGGTCAACCCAATACATAGTATAGACCAATTGAATGGGCGGTTGCTTAAAGCGAGGGATTATGATTGGGTTGAGTTCATAGTGGAAGTGGAGATGCTGAATAATGCCCCAGTGGCGAAAAAAGCAAAGAAATCCGTCAAGAACGCGCAAAATGGGACCCCTTTCTTTGCCCGTTGACCTCCGATAATGGACGAGCTAGCAACCAATTAGGAGGTCGTTTGCACATGTTATGCTGATAGCCTCTATCATTTCAGCAAATATCATGCTTTGATTGATCACGCATTCCATGGAAAATTATAGGATGTGGAGTACTCCATCCAAATGTAAGAGCAATGACTAGCAGCACACTGATGGGCGGAGCACAGGCGGCGGAGGCGGAGCTCAGGAAGGAATGGCAGCCCAGGGCGCTGAACTAGCGCGCCTTTGGCCACGAAAAGGCACATCTCGCTTCCTTAGGCCCCTGACTACTGCTTCCACTGGTGCATGTACTTCCACGCTGCACACACTTTATCGTAATCTCTCGCTTAAAAGCGGAATACATTTTCAAAATGGACAGTGAGCGATGATGCTAACAGTGTCACCATCATACGCATTTCTGTTATCTTCAAGTCTTAAGTAAGTTCACAAGTGGAAATGCTCTTCGGAAGCGGGTCCGAGTAGACTTGACATGTTGTCAGATAAGATTTATTGCCTTTGTCGGGACAGCCAGCTTCGTTCTTGGATGCTGGCCCTTTTACAGGGAGTGCGCATTGCTCCTCACAATCCACTTTCAGTATGCACAGCCATTGAATTAATAAGGGTCAGCTTTGCAGCACTCGATTGCTTCGATGTTGAATCTACGAGGTAATTTTTGAGAGATAGGATCTTGCAAAGCCCACTCTAAGATTACGTGGTTATGGGGTCCTCCGACCATGAGATTCTGTGGAAAAGACGACATGAAAGCTTTAAGAATGCAAAGTTTGATCACGTTTGCGGAGTCGATGTTCGAAAAACTATCCAAAACCGGTGACTGGGTGAAATTCAAGAGTAGCGATGCCTTGGAGTCAACAGCAAAGATGCAGATGGAAAGAAAAGAAAAGAACAAGAAGTGCGTCGTCTATTTCGATTCCCTCGATTTCGCTGCGAGGCACGGCTCCAGCTCCCTGAAAAGATGTGACAAAAGTCCGAAATCGTTCCATATTTAGGTATGTTATACTTGGTGTTATGTAGCTGGTTCATACAATGTAGTAAGATTTATTCTAAACAATGCGCTGTCTATTGTTACTACTTCTGAGCCTCACTTTCCACGATAAGTTCGTGTCCCGTTTTGTTACGGTAGGCTAAGAGCAGGGGGTCGTTTCGAGATTTTGGATGGGCGAGGGAGGGTCGTTTTTTGGAGTAGGGAGGCGACGGTGGTGGAAGTGAGAATTGTGCTATCGGAGAGGTGGATATGTGGCTTCTTCTGATAGTTCTTTTTACAAATTTCACCTCGAGATTAGAGGGCGGGATTGGAGTGTATTGACTAGTTTCCGAATCGATTTTAGGAGAAATAAACCATTGTGAGGGTGGTGAGGGGGCCTATAGAGAGAGATTCCTTCAAGGCTGGTTGTGATGGTTGGGTCGTGTCAATACTCCTCAGGGAGGGAAATGGATAGTGAAAAATTTGAAGTTGGGCAACCACGGTTGACCCTGTGACAATCCAACTTTCCTTTTCCCAACACTATCTCTCTGAGCCGAAAGGAATTCACGATAAGGCAGAAGGTCAAAGAAGGAGAAAATTGCATAGTTGGGAGACAGGCGGACCTCCTGAGGGTGCTGACCGACGCGCAATTGGCAGCGAAAGATTTGACTAGCATGGCTCACTCTTGGCGTGGTTGGCGGGGTACGCCCACTGACTATCGCATAATTCGCCGCAGGTCTATTAATACGTAGCTTCTTCATCCTGCTCCGCTGACCACCTCTGCCCTTATTTCCAATGAGCTAACTTTTCATTGTAAATTCTGCCTTAACTTGAGCTTAGCCTAGCGTGCTAATGTCGCTTTATTCCTGTTGATACCTTATTACTCTTGCTTTCGGGTGAACTCCTTCCGTTCAGGTCCGACCATCATCTTCTGTGTCTCAATCTTATTTTTGTTCAAATTGTTTCGAGAGATTGGTGAACTCTCATCCCATGCTTACCCAAGTTACCGTCTTTTTTGAAAGATATATGTACATCAGTAATTTGATTAAGGGCACAAGAAGAGTTGGTCAATGTACTGCTAAACGTATTTGCCAGGAAAGATATGCTTCATACACGGGTGAAGCTCTGCAGAACGATGTTATGGCGATGTCAGATGGAGAAAGCAGGCCTCGAAACAATAAAGGTGCCTTTTTACAGCAAAATCAACACCCGTGGGGAGGGTAGTATAGTAGTCGTCGTCAAATTCGCACATTAAATACCCTGTAGACGTCTGTCTACCCAGGCCAATCAGCGTTTTTTTTTTGAGTGTATTCGATAGAGTTGCTAGTGGAATGAAGGGGATAGAGGGGACCTGGAGCAAAGGTGAACTGGGACCCCTAACTGAAGAGAGCTCGTTTATCCCGAATGTTCTACACTCGTGGTTTGGTCTCCACTGCCTTAAACTCTCGCGCGTTGGCCATGGGTCTGTCGGTTTGACTAAGCAGCAGTTCCTACTCAGATTCTCCTCTCGAAGCTCATTGATGAGGAGCAGATTTATCGTGAGAAAAGTGCGGAGGAGTTGGGTTATTGGCTGAAAAAGAACAAAGTCCGTACCATGCGTATGAATTGGATGTGTCCAAAAAAGGTGAGGTCAGTCGTTTAGTCTTCTTTAACTTTTACCTCTAGCTCCTTTTTCAGCCTCAAGAGAAAGTCTTGTTGAAATGTGGGATTCGGCCGGACAATATGAGTTTAGCCTATGACTCAGAAAATCTGCCCAATACCGAAGACAAGTGGAACAGCACTGTGTTTTTCTCCAAGCAATTCGGCTGCTACAAATGGCCGGAGTAAGTCTATAAAAAATACGATTGTATCAAGCTGATATTCTTTGTATGCAGGACGATAAGTGTTGTTGTGTTCGCCAAACGACCTCAAATCAATCGGCCAAAGTTAAACGAATGTGAAAAGATGATTGTGGCGACGTTCGAAAATCCCCAGTTCTACAGCTTGTGGATCACTCTGCTGCTCATTGAAAAACGAGATTTGCCGGAACTCAAAGAAAGCACCGTTTGGATTATCAAAGTACGTCTCACTTCCGCACGTCTAGAATTAGCTGATTTGCTATGATAACGACAAAAAAGCCTGAGCTAGCAGCAAAAATGCCGAAATTTATACCGATAATTGGTAACGTATCAACGCACTGTTACCAGGAGAGGGTTGAAATAATGTTCACGTTCGCCGACCTTTTCCGCAAAATTTTTGCGCAGTCCCCTCTCTTTCGTACCTCGATTCACGAGCACGACTCTCGAGGATGACTATTTTCTTTAAATTCTAATGTATTTGATTCTGATACCACGACACACCCAATCTTCGAACACTTAGTTCTCTCCTAAAGACATTCTTTTCAAGCGTGAATGGGGGGAGGGGCCGGGTGAGATCCATTGGTATCATTTAAAGCAGTAAATCGACTAGTTTTATCAACATTTTCGCACTTTCATGCATAGGACTTCATTGCCAAAAAACCCGTTACCTACAACCCCATTTTTTAAACGCACCCTACCACGACTTTTTTTGCGATAGTGTTATTAACTATGCCGCACCAAATGCTGACCCTTCGCTTCGCCAACTACAAGTAGCGCCCGCCGCTTGGTTCGGATGATTGCAAGCGGAGCGTTGACAGCCTGTGGGGTTAGTCGGAAACAATTTTTTGGATGACACATTTGTTCATTGGTATGCACTGCACAGCGGCAGCGAGTCTGTATAACAAAAGCGAACGAGTATGTCTGAAGTCATATTTTTCAGTATCTCCTTCGAAACTTCCCAGACAGCACGATTATTTTTCAAAACATTACAAAAACTCTCATGGAACTGTTAAGATCTCGCCAGGTTGGTTTAAAAGCCATTCATATGCCCTTCCCTTGTAAAGAATTGCCTATTTCAGCGAGCACAACAAAGACTTGCTGCTGAGGTTTTCGCCGGAGTAGCACAAGGGACGAAATACCGAGGATTTAAAGTACTCAATGAGTTATGGAGTTGGTTAGCAGGGGCTGTCGATCTCATGTACGACTTCATGAATGCTGATGCCTACAATTCCTGGAGCACAGTGCTTTCACAAGTGAGCCTATCTACTGTAGCTCCTCGAACGATCCAAATCGTCGTATAACTGGACTACGGTTCGTTGAGAATCTACGAAGTGGGTGCCATTATCGCTGATTGGATATGCGAGTGTTTCGCGCATTTTGTTCTGCCAATATTTTTCTCTGTGTGCTAGACTAGCGTTAAAAGTGACGAAAATGGGTTTTTGAGCCTACCTCCATCATCTCCTACTCCTGCTCCTACCACAATCCTAATTCCAATCCTACTTATGATTCAATCACATCTATGCACCCTACACCGTACCTAAACCTATTAACACGTTGACGACATCGCGTGTTTTGGCATTTTGCACCGCGTGGGACAGGAGCGATTTTGCGAGCGCGCCGTCCTCACCTTACTTCCGCTTATTTTTTGTTTAAAAATGCACAACAACTTGAATCTCATAGAATTATTTCGGCAAGGATGAAAGCATAAAGGTTAACTATATAAATAGCAGTATTTTGTTTAGAAGAGTGCATAATGACCATAGGGCGGAAGTGGTGTAGTGGCAAGTGGCACGCTTACCACGCGAGCGGTCCGGGGATCAAATCCTGGGTCGTGAGTCGCCCGGGCCAACCAAGCCTTCCATCCCTCCGGGGTCGGTTAATTGGTACCAGACTTGTCTGGGAGGATAAAAACACTGACTTGTACATCGGCTGGCCCCCGCAAGTCATTGTATAGGCCACATCGCATTCAAACGCCACTACGTACAAATGGAAGTAGAATGCGTGCCGCATCCCAAAAAGGGATTGATCAACGGCAAATGCTTTATCCTTTGCTTTTATACGACCCGGATGGGCCCGGGGGAAGGGAGGAGGAGGTGAAGGTCGT